ACCAGGAGAAACGTTAGGAACCAAAACTTCCAGAACACGGCCACACAGCCCAGAAGAACCACATCAGCCATAATTTTTTTCTCCTTGTCCTAGGATGGCTTCACTTTGACTCACTGCACTTGGTTTTACTGGGGATTGGCCTGAAGTTGGCTTCTGAAATAGTGCATATTCCCAAAAGACTATACCATAAAAAAAAAAAGGGAACATTAGCTTGTATTAGCAATAGGATTGTGCTGTGTTTTATTCTTGAGTCTTTCAGATGTATCCCCAGAAGCTAAGCTTTAATTTGTACCTGAAAGCTACCGCACAATAGTCTCTTTTTATTCTGGAAGTGAAAGGTTTTCAAAGGCCTTCCCATTTCTAAGATAAGAAATTCCTCACACTTTTCAGCAGTTCTTCCTCACACAAAGACCCTGATTATCTAAATTGATGGCTCTCTACTAGCTTAAAGCTATCACTCTGATCGGTGGATTGTGATAAATAATACGCCTTGCTGAAGAAGATATTTTCAGTTTCATATTTCTGCAGCATCTTGCCATTGTTATGAGCTTTGCTTATTTATTGAAATCTGGTCTGTGTCGGAAATTAGATTTCCTATGTGCAATGGAAACAAGCGAGACATGTTCAAAAGTCACCTGCTTTTGTACATCCCTACTCCTCCGCCCTGCGCATCCGTATTTCCGGCCTTGTGATAGATGTCTGCTCTGGATTTCTTGGTCTTGATGGAATAATTTGGGCCTTCCTTTAGCATTTTCATTACTTATAGATCAGCAATGAAAGGTTTTATAAAAGGTTCCTTCATTTAGATTCATTTCTTATTTATTTTTATCCAAAGAAATATATCTTTGATTTTGCGCCCCATAATGGATTTACCCAAACAAAGAACTACGAAAACAATGTTTTCTCTTATAGCAGCCATGCTGGTGTCATGTTTGAACTTCTCCCAGATAACATCAAAAGTTTCTGTCCTTCCATCCTATCAGCCAATATGCTGTAGAGTAGGTATCACAGGTGGCAAAGATTGGTGGGGACACTCAACCTCTGCTTGCCATATAAAACTCACTGGGTGATTTTGGGCTAGCTAGTCTTTCTCAGTCTAATCTATGCTGAATGGTAGAAAACTGAAAAGAATAATTCTGAAGAAAAGTACCAGCATTGCAAATATGTGAAGACCTCAATTGAGCAGGATGTGAAATCTGATTTTCTAGTAACTAGTTCAGATTTCAAGGATGGATTATTTCATTGAAAATAATCAAAGCAATTTTATTTCAGCTGTCTACAGGAAATTTGTTTTGTCTGGAGGAAATAATGTTACTTCAGTAGCAGTACATTATTCTAACAAACAGAATACCATCATCATCCCTAAGAAAACAAACACTCAGAACTGTTTCCTTAATTGCTAGTTATTTGTCTTGATTATTTGCATTTGAAAGTGTAGAAAATCCACATTGTTTATGTGCAGCTAATGCCTGGGGAAGTGAATTATAGTGCTGAGAGCTATTAGGCAAGGTGCTTTTTGTCAAACTTGTAGTTTGTGTGTGTATGTGTCAGAGTGCTTCTTACCTCCTGGAAGAAATTGGTGCAGCAGCTGCTTTAAGAGGAAGATCTAATGACCTTTTATTTCTCTCCTAGAACATCCACCTGGTGGCCAAGTGGTTGAGTTCTCTGGAGAAGAAGCTAGAGCAGCACAGCGAAGGTAGTCACCCTAATTTCCGGATCTTTATCAGTGCAGAGCCTGCAGCTTCTCCCGAGAGTCATCTGATACCACAGGGTATCCTAGAGAATTCCATCAAAATCACAAATGAACCTCCAACCGGGATGCATGCCAACCTGCACAAGGCTCTGGACAACTTCAACCAGGTATCCCCCTACCCTACCTCCCACCCCAGGGAGATTCTTGATGCTCTATTTCAAAGCCAGGCCAGGAAATAGTATGCAACTGGACTAAGATAGCTCCATCCAGACCTACTATAATGTAAGTCAAGTATGTCACCTTTTGGGGTGAGGCAGCTCTTATAACTGCAACCTTGTCTCAAGAATTGAATTGGGGAAATAATCTCAAATCCCCTTACAATACTTTTTGTATAAACTAGCCAAGCATTTTCCCAAAGCCTCTTAAAATGCATTGACTAGTCTTGCCTGGAAGAAGGGAGTGGATCTTCTGTACTGAAGGCTCTTAGCCAGCCCAGCAGGAGGTTGAAGCATTGGCATTCATGCCTTTGGGGGAAAGGTGTTATGCTTCTGAACTTTCTAACAGCTCTTGTCATTATAGTATTTTTCAGGGAAAGCACTGGATCTCTGAGTTGATGTGGCTGGATGGAGATTAATGCTGTCAACCTTATTTTGCTCCATCTACTATCATTCATCATTCTATGTTCTGGAAAGAGGGGTGGGATGGAATATTCCTTTTCCTGCTTCTGCAAATCAGATAGACTCAACATGGCTGACTTTTTAACAAAACATTTCCTATCCTACAAATACTTATGACAGTACCTCTGTCCTTCAATTGACAGCTTGGAGCTTCTAGTTCAGTTAATACAAGATGAATTCACATAGAGATGTGGAAACAGGGCCACAAAGAGTTTATTATCATACTCCTTTTAAGTAAAAAGGGTGGGTCTTGTACTGCATAAGCATTATGTTCTTTCAAGTTTGCAACTAGATAAATGTGTGAGGATAAATAAGCACAGGGTGTGTTTGTCCTAAAGTTATGACTCAGGCCTTTGTCTCACTTTTTCATCCAGGAGACTAGCACATTTGTTGAAAAAAATGATTCCCAGGGCTTCTACTTAAGCACTATTTCTAACTTACATGGGAAACTATGTTGAGTGTTGGCTAACCATCCAGTTGCTCTTTGTTTTTCAGTTAGTCTATCACAAACAGTCAGGAATACTGTTGAACATCATTATGGCAGAAAGGGGGGGGGGCATTAATTTGATCATTTAGTAAAGTTCATTGATCCCAACTCCAGGCCATGAACATCCTTTTTCCCATGACTTTATTTGGATCAGAAGGTTGTTGGAGCAATTGAAACAGTATAAATGTTGTTCTTGTTGTTGCACAATTGTCAACCATATCATTCTTGCAATTATCCATCTAGTCTATAAGCAGACTATAAGAACAGCAACAATAGCATATTTTATTTGTACACAGAAAAATCTTTATCTAAAAGCAATTAATTAATTAATAAGTAGTGAGAAAATGTTAGCATGAAAGCTATAAAAATGGATTATCATTGGAAAATAAGCTTAATAAGTCTGGTAGTCAACTTTGGCTTTCTTACAACTTCTCAGATCAATCTAAGTTACGAGGATGAGTGGAGATTTTCATAATCCCAGACCCTGCTGTCCAATCTTCCATGTGGGTCAGTGTGTCTTTGCTCATCTTTGTTTGGCTCCTACCTGAGGACTTAGATGATATTTACTATGGAAACCAACTTCTCTTTTCCTTGCAGGACACCCTGGAGATGTGTACCCGTGAGAATGAGTTTAAGAGCATCCTTTTTGCCCTCTGTTATTTCCATGCTGTGGTAGCAGAAAGGCGCAAATTTGGTCCCCAGGGCTGGAATCGTTCATACCCGTTTAACATTGGGGACCTCACCATTTCTGTCAATGTTCTATACAATTACTTGGAGGCTACTTCTAAGGTGAACTGAATCATACTAGAATCATGTGTAGCAGTTTCTAATAGATGATTACTAGAGTTTTTTGAGGGGTGGGGTAGTGTTCTCTGTCAATGTGCCATCTTTCCCTCTTTCTTTTTGTGACTTCAGAGAAGAATATACTTTTCATCTAATCATCCTATTCACTGTAAATGCTCATAACTGGCCTGGTGTGCTTGTGCTAGGACATTTCTCTGAAAATATTTGGATATGTTTCAGTGCCAAGATAAATGTGTTCTGTCTAAGGAATGGGGGAAAGACTTGTTTTCAGCCACACTCCTCCTACTCTTTTTCAGTTCTCCACACCATACATACACACATACACAGAATCTGTTCTGCAGTCTGGGGCTTCTCTAAATGAATCTCTTTGGTGCTGCATGGAGTGGTATAACCACTACATTACATCCAGTTCCCAAAACAAACTTGTGGAAATGAAAAACTTCCACTTTAAGATTTTCAAAGGCTGCAGAAAGAATTGCCTGCTGCTATGCTATAAGGGAAGGTCTCCTCTGATCTGTCCCAGATAACTTTCCCTTTGGCATTTAGGTTCCCTATGATGATCTCCGATACCTCTTTGGAGAAATCATGTATGGGGGTCACATCACAGATGATTGGGACAGGCGTCTCTGTAAGACCTACTTAGAAGAGTTTATCAAGCCTGAAATGCTGGAAGGAGAGTTCTTGCTGGCTTCTGGATTTCCCCTCCCAGGAAACATGGATTACAACAGCTATCATCAGGTAGTCTTGCATTTATTCAATCTGCTCTGGTTTGTTTTGGAGTTCATAGCCATATAAGAAAGCAATTTAGGGATTCAGAGCTTTAGGCAAGATCTACTTTTTCTTGTAATCCTTTTTGATTGTGAAGTGACAGTTGGTCATGTCCTTATCCAGTTTGTGCATGGATAGAAAAAACTATCTAAGGCTGTTTCTCCAGCCTTTGCAGGCCTAGTGGAAAATTATATCTGTTAACTCAAAAACACTTGCAGGTTGCAATCCAGGGTATCAGATGTCCTTAGAGGTTTTGGATAACAGCTCCCATTGATCTTTGCTATTGACTATGCTGGCTGGAACTAATGGGCCAAAATGTCTAGAAGAGAACATATGTAGCTCAGGGTAGTACTGTGGAGTCCTTGGGGTTCTCTGAGCTTGGTTGAAAACAACCAAGCTCAGAGGACCCCAAGGACTCCACAAAATGTCTAGAAGATGCTAGCTTCTCTGTCACCGTACTTGGGACTTCTATATATAGATATATGTAAGATTTTACTAGTAGGGTTCTTTATCCTTACTATTATTATTTTACATTATAATCAAAATGCACATTTTTTTTTGGTATTCTTGGTGAATGCATCTTCAACTATTCATTTTCTGTATGGAGAGGGCCCACGCAAAGCATGGGCCACAGGAAATGGAGAGTACGCCTGATTTTATTTTAGAGAATTTTAGACTTTTGACCCTTCAGTGTCACTTTGGGGATTCATTTATCAAAACTGTATTCTAACCTAGGGCTGAGATTGAGGCATAGCACCTTCCAAACTGTACTGAAAACTGTAGCTCTGTTGAAAATGCCTAATGATTAATTTTAATTAACTACAATTAATCTTCATTTGGCCGGAGCTGATCTGCTTACAAGTGCGGCATTGTGCTGACTTTAGTTTAACTTTTTAGAGGTTCAGTAAAACTACAGATTATAGGGCATTATCTGTGGTATCCATTATCTTGCTGAGTGTACATATGATTTTCCTGCCTAGTATATAGATGATGCTTTGCCTCCTGAGTCTCCATATCTGTACGGCCTCCACCCCAATGCAGAAATTGGCTTCTTGACCCAAACATCAGAGAAGCTTTTCCGCACTGTTTTAGAGCTACAGCCTCGAGACACTAATCTTGGAGAAGGTGTAGGAACTACTCGGGAAGAGAAGGTGAGCGAGGGGGATATCCTTGTTTCCACCACATAGATGATTTTGCTTTATTTGATTTCATTTCATCCCCAAGACATTCAGGTCATGAGATGCAGGCAATTTATTACTGGCCAAATGGGAAGCCATCATAGATGCCAGAGAAGATCCAGGAGCTTTACATTCTCTATCGTGCTGCCATTCCCTTAGCAGATATAATAGAGAGCTGTGCTTCGTGACCTCTGCTGATTTGCCATTCTAAATAACAAAGGAAGTCCAAATAGGCTCGTATAAGAAAGCCAGTACAATTCTTTACATGTATAAATTGGACTTATTTGCAGAGATCAAAGAAGCAGCTCATCCTTTCATGCTTGCTGCTACAACGTTTAAGGAGAAGAATGGAAATTTGTTCTGGGAAAGGATAGAGCCTTGTTTCTTGAGTTAGCCCTGCAGGGAGCTTAGCAAAGTAGCCAAGCAAATTACAGGGTTTCCTTAGACCAGAGTTTCTTAACCTTGACAACTGGAAGAACTCCTGCAGTTCTCCATCATTCTCAAATGGTCTAAGGCAGCATTTTTCAACCTTAGGAACTCTAAGATGTGTGGACTTCAACCCCCAGAATCCCCCAGCCAGTATGGCTGGCTGGGAAATTCT